AGGAGTTGTAACCCAACACATCTAAAAAGCACCAAGTTGGAGCACATGGTTGAAAATGTTGTGCCTTTTATAAATATCCATGGAGTGGAAGGCGAGAGAAACTCTCTTACCATTCATATGTGAATGCTGAGAAGTGTGGAAACAATATTAAGCCAAAGGCATAAGTTACCATAGGCATTTTGTTCTTTGATTGACTGACACATCAACCCCTCTGGAAACTGAAGATGTGAAAAACCCTTCCATGTAATTCACTCTCGGCTTCTGTGTTTTAAGGGATAAATTTGTCAAATGATCTTCTACTTCTGTTCTGGATTATTAGAATATGAAAAGCACATACTAGACTGAAATTTTTTTTCAATTGTTTTTAAAACTGGAAAATATTGGCCTTGTTAAAAGCTGTTTCAGTTACCTATTCACATTTCTGCCCCTTTTGTTTCTTCCAGTTGGGTTTCCACTCCTACGGAGGGGAAATGACTCAGTAGGCCTCTACAACATGTAATCCTCATCCTAAAAATAGCATGCACTCATTTTCTTTCTTCCTGATAGGCAGTTTGTAACAAAGCTGGCCCTACCATCAGGCAGAGTGAAGGAGCTGCCTTAAGCAATGTATTTTTTATGGTTGTGAAAGGGCAACGAATGGTTAGGTATTCAATTTGTTCTTGCATTTTCATTGCCAAGGATGGGGAGAAGTGTTTCTGAATTTTTTAAAAATTTGTTTTGTTTTATTTTTGCTTTAACTGCTAAAATAACGTGGCTGGCTTTGAGTACATGTGCCTTCGGGTGTGTATGGGGTACAATTTGCTGTTGTGATCAGGTATCAAGATGTCTTGAGCCAGGCCTGATTTCTGTATAGTTCCCCTTCCACGTTGGTGTATGCTAAAGGAACACAGACTTCTGCAGATTAATTAAAACCACAAAGATGAGTGAGGAGTGAATGAATTAGGAGAGAGGAGGGGGAAGGATGTGGGGCATGAAGCTGTCTGTACTAGTTATGTGTAGAATGAAGATGATGGCCCCATGAACTTCTCAACTTTAAGCCAAGAAGCTCCTCCCTCAAGGGCCATAATTGCTTCTCTGAGGAGAGTTTGATGTGCCTGGGAAACAGCCCGTAGGCCTTCTCTAAAGCTGCATAAATATCAGTCAATTCAAGGGAGCTGACCTGTCTCAAGTTATTATTCCTCCTTATTTACTATGATCCCAGATCACAGAGAAACATGGACCTTGTAAATCACTTGGAGTCATTGTGTGACAGTTCTGCCTTGGTGGCTACAGACTATAAATATTACTGGGATAGATCTAGCATTGCTTTCTGCCTGGAAAAGGTGATTTATAATCAATTATGAGTAAGAATTTTGATATGACAGGGATAAGTCCTTCATAAAGGGAAATGGCAACACTGCTTTCTCTCTGTGTAAATGTTTTAAACTATCAGAACTACAGGCATATCCTCCTGAATGTTTCTCGTGCTGCATCTTTCAACATTTCTCCTTAAGAAACTCACTACAGTATTTGGCCCTCAGCTGAACATCCCTTCCTCACTATACAATAGATGAGATCTGGACAAGTTCTGTGGTTATGAGAGAGTGAGAGAGATTTTATTAGGCAGAGAGAGATATTGGGAGAAGGCCTGTTCCAGTTACTGTGGGCTTCTCAAGAACACAGCTAAGTTGAAGTGAAAAGAAAGGGAAAATCTGCTACTCAGAAGAAGAAAAAACACCTTTGCCTGTTAGTCTCTGCATCCCTCCCAAAACATGTTGCTTATTTGGAAGTAAGGCTACTGTGAGCAAGCTCTGGCTCTTGCTGTTTCTGCCTATATTTAGAGTACTTCCATCTGGATATTTCTGTCTTATTATTCAAAGTTCAAAAAAAGAAGAACCCTTTAAACATGGAAATTTTCTGTTTAGAGAATTGTCTATTCAGCTAAAATAAGAGGAACCATTTCTGGGCACCAAATGTTTCTGAAGCAGATACTGTGATTGCAGTTGGCATCTTATCTATTTATGTAATACAGTAAAGTCACCTTGTTTTTCCTTTTTCCTAACCAAATACTTAGACCTCTGCAATATATATTGTATCTGAGCAATCACGTGCAAGGCAGTTCTCATTAATAATCTGCTTTTGTTTCTCTGACTCCAGTGGGTTTTGGAGTAGGAATACAAAAGCTGTAAGGATCCACCATCTTCACATGCTGGTTAAATAATGTTCAGAGGGGATTTTAGCCTGTAATTGAATTTGCTTATCATGGAAAACATGACCTTGTTAGACTCCATATTAAGATCAACTCCTTTGGGGCCTGCATACTGTTGGTTTTAATCTCTGAACAGCAGCAAGGAATAGCACGGTGGCTTATGGATGAACTGTAGCGGAGTAAACTTCTGTTAAGGACAAGAAAACTGTAGTCTTGGAAACAATAGCTCCACCTACTGGTCTATTTTCATATGTCATTAACCTGCCAGAGGTCTATTATGTTACTAGGTTCATTGTGTTAAAGTAACATATAGTTAAAGCTTTATTTTATTTTATTTTATTTTAAAAAAACAGTATCAGTTGTTTGTGTGCTTACTTACTTTTTCTGGCTAATATTTGTGACTGAGCACTGGGGTTGTTTGAAGAACAAATAACACTGTTAACTCAGTGGCAGTAACTTGGGGATCTAGTTAATCATTACGTTAGTGGTTGCCTAGCAAAAGTAGAAATTGATCAGTTTAATTGGGGAGAAGAACTGAAATACCATCTGTTCAGTCCAGCTGTGTGTCCCATTTGAGATGATGGTTGCAAAACAGTGATGGGTTTCCATGGAAAGACGTGAGGAGGTCTTGTGTTTGAATGACACGAGACAGCCTCACCAGTGACCTTATTTTAAGAGGACAGAGCTGGAAGGAAAAGGTCAAAGCCTGCGAGTATCATGCATCTTAAGGCAGCAAATCATCATCACCATCATGTTAGAACTGCAATGCTTGAAAGGACCCTATGGATCATTGAGTCCTGCCTCATCATGCATCTTAAGGCAGCAAATCATCATCGCCATCATGTTAGAACTGCAATGCTCAAAGGGACCCTATGGATCATCGAGTCCAGCCTCAGTGAAGGAAGCACAGTGTGGAATCAAACTCCCAACCTCTGGCTCCACAACCAGATACCTAAACCACTGAGATACCCAGCTGTTCTGATACTGTAGTTTGATTAAGAGCTGTGGAAAGAAATATTTCTTCTTGTCCATCTTGAATCTCATTCATTCAATTTGATTCTTATTCATTCAATTTAACCACAAAAGCCTCTAACACCCAGTTGTGGTATGACAAAAGGAGGAGGAATACTTATCTCTATCCTTTCTCCATAATATACATTTTGTAAACCTCAGTCATGTCCTATTATTGGTTCCTTATTATCTAAAGTCCTTCATGCTGTAACCCTTCCTCATTCATGGGGATGCTTCAGTCTACTGATCAAGCAGTGACTTTTAAATCCCCCCCCCAAGATACTCATATCCTTTCTGATGTCATCAGAGCTATATGTAGTTTTCTGTGTATGACCATACATTACAAAATTAATAGTTCTATTTTTTAAACCCCTTTGTGTAGTACATAATTGCTTATTTCATAGCTATCTTACCTTTTCATGGCTGGCATTTTCATTGAGCTCTCTGCAATGATCCTTAAATCTCTTTCCATATTAATTATCACTAGGTCAGGTCCTGTCTCTCCCAAGAGAAATGTTTAGGTATTATTTGTTTGTTTTTCCTACCATGTGCATCGTTTTACAATAATTTACATTTCCTACTTTTAGCATTTGTTGCCCATTTATCCAGCAAATTGCCATTTTAATGTACCATATAATCTCTGAACAGGCAGCTAATAGAGTCCGTTTATTACGAACAGCCTCGTTAAGACGGAATGTCAGCTAACAGCTTGCAGAACACATCATTAGTGTGCTAGTTGTTCATTTGATAGTATGCCCCTTTGACACTTTAAGACTCATGTATATTATAAAATTAAGCCAGTTTAAGGCTCAGAAACAATGCATGCTTTCCTGGAAGTAAGTTTTGTTGAACTCGGTGGAGCTTGTCTAAGAGTAGACAAGAATAGGATTGCTCTGTAAACATGATCACTCTCAACCCGAGAAAGTCTTATTACTCTGAAGCTGTTTTAGAGCACTGGTGGGAATTTCTGACCCCTGGACGAACAACCCAAGGGTTCTTCTCATTCTTCCTGTAGGCTGCTTCTTCTGTTAACCTACATCAGTGATTTTAGATGAGAATCTATTGGAAGCCTGGTAAATTTTTTCATGGAGCAAAACTCTGGTTTGCATTGGGACTTATGCCTAGCATTTGGAAAAAAAAAATACTTTTGGACTAAAGCTCCCAGAATCCCTGTGTCACTACGATATCACTGCCGGGTTTGAGATTCAGAGAGCTGTCACTTTTCCAAGCTCTGCTTATGCTTGAGTAGGCATGGGTAGAAGTGAGCTGTCTGATTGGTGGCAGATGTCTGGACTGGCAAATATTTCATCTGGCTTCATCAGCTTTACTCCAGCCTTGTCCTGTGCCTCTAGCCTCATCTACTGCTAAGAAAGACCCTTTCCAAATTAAAATTTAACCCTTGGGTCAAAAAGGTCCACCACTTTTCTGTTACAAGCCAGGTATCTCTGGCAGAATTCTGAGCACACACTCTTAAACTACAGCTCCCCAAGTTGGTTGGAGAAGGTGTGACAGTTTTGAAATTGGGTAAACAGATGGATAAATGTGTCCCTAATGTACACAGCAAAGAATACTAGAGGTGGAAGCTAGAGAAAGGAAAAGATAAGTAATTTAGCTGTGCAGAGTAAGATTCTTCCTAGTTGTGAGTGAAGAAGGTATCAACCTGCTAAATAGGTTGGAAAAGGTTGGATTGAGGGAGATTACCTAGCAGAGAAATGTGTAATATGGTTTCGTTGCAGTCAGTGTGCCTGTGTGAGCACATATGCCATTGAAATGCTTAATTTTTCTCTCTCTTCTCATGCAGAATATGAAGGGGGGAAAATCCAGACTATTAAACTTCCTGTCCTCAGTCCAGACTCTCTGTTGATTTTCACCAGTAGCCAACACAGTAGAAATGTTCCGTGCCAGATACAAGATGGCTCCCCACTTTTTGCTGCTGAGCTGCAAACAAGGACATAGGACTCTGATTGCTTGCTGTGGATCATCTTGAGGAGAATGTCGTGGACGTGGAACAATTGTCTGATGCTGAAGTACAAGGGCGGCATGGCTCAGAGGCCCTTGGTCAGCACGCTGTTCCAGAACCGCAGGATGCAACTCTTGTTAGTCAACTCCCTAACATTTGGTTTGGAAGTCTGTCTGGCTGCGGGCATCACCTATGTGCCACCTCTGCTGCTGGAAGTGGGTGTGGAAGAAAAGTTCATGACAATGGTTTTGGGTAGGTAGCATTCCTTTTCTTTTGGGTAGGTGGCCTGGGTGAAGTTGTTTTTGTCCTTGTGATGTCTTTGGTTCTGGATGTGTGGGAAATGAGCTAGTCAGAGATTGTAGCTTTGTTGTCTCTCAAATGACAACCACCCACTTGCCAATCCCTTCCAATCAGATAATATTTTCCTCCCTTTCTCAATTCTAGGGATTGGGCCAGTCCTAGGCCTGGTGTTTGTGCCCCTCATTGGCTCCGCCAGCGATCACTGGCATAGCAGTTATGGTCGACGGCGGCCTTTCATCTGGGTCCTGTGTCTGGGAGTTCTCCTGAGCCTTCTGATCATCCCTCATGCTCATCGTCTGGCCAGCCTGATTGCCTTGGATACCCGCTCCCTGGAGTTAACCTTCCTCATTATGGGCATTGGCCTCCTTGACTTCTGTGGCCAGGTCTGCTTCACCCCACTGGAGGCCCTTCTCTCAGACCTTTTCCAGGAGCCTGACAACTGTCGGCAGGCTTTCTCAGTCTACTCCTTCATGGTTAGCCTGGGAGGCTGCATTGGGTACCTCCTCCCAGCAATTGACTGGGACAGCAGCTTCTTGGCTCCTTACCTGGGAGGACAGGAGGAATGCCTCTTCAGCCTCCTCACCATCATCTTTCTTGGTTGCGTCTTGGCCACTGCCTTTGTGACAGAGGAGGTGGCCGCTCAGGTAGAAGTGCTGGCCGGCTCTGCAATGAAGGATTCCTCCAAGTCCCCACCCCTTAGCTGCTGCTCGTTCTGGCTTCCACAGAGCTTTTTGAGGACTAGGCATCTGGTCCAGGCTTTTAGGAACCTTTGTGCCTTGGCTCCACGCCTTCATGGAGTCTGTTGCCGCATCCCTAAAGTAATCCGACGACTTTTTGTGGCTGAACTATGCAGCTGGATGGGCCTCATGACGTTCATGCTGTTCTACACAGACTTTGTTGGGGAAGGTCTGTATCAGGGAGTTCCCAGAGCTGAACCTGGCACAGAAGCCAGACGGCATTATGATGAAGGTAATTTGATTCTTTTTATGGGATGGGGAGGGGTGGGATGAGAAGAAAGATTGCATCTGGTGCCCTTGAAACTGATGTATATTTTTATTAAAAAAAGCAGCAAACCCATCAAATAATATGATATGAAAGCTTATTCTTATAGCTTATACTTGCATGAAATTATCTTTGCTGCTTTTTCTTGCAAATGCATAGTTCTGGCTAAACTTGGAATTTTGGGAGGAGGGAAGAATGAAGCCCGTTAGCTGTTGAAGTGATCCTAGGACAGTGCTGGTCTTGGATCTGGAAACTGATTTCTAAAACTTATTTCAGCAATAGCTCCATGGAATTTCTTTGGCTTTAGTATTATAATCTTTAAGGTTACATTTTCTCCCTTTAAAAAAAAACTTTCTAAAGGTCAAGGAGACCCATAGGCTACAACATGTATAGCAAGGAGTAGGTAGGTGTTCACCAGATGTTTCGTATGTCAGTTCCCCCAGCCTTTAGCCAGTGCTGGTGCTAGCTAGGCCTTGTGAGAGCTGTAGTCAAAAACATCTGGAAAATACCACTTTTCCTACCTCAGTGTTTTGTGATGATTTATATACATCCTGGGGCAGTTCTTAAAAATTAATAGAAATGGTGTGAAGAATAGCAGCTGTAGAAGCAGGCAGCCAGCCAGTCTCATGTGGTCTAAGAGTGCCTTCCTGAAATCTACTCTTCCTTATTAGGATTGTGAAAATCCCTGTTTTCATGTATTTATTTTTTTATATGACTGGAGAAGATAAGGATATAAGGAATGAGGATCTGCTTTTACAGAGTAGGATCACACAAGTTCTGTGCTTAATCCTCTAGCACAGTGGTCCCCAACCTTGGGCCTTCAGATGTTTTTGGACTACAACTCCCAGAAGCCTTCTCCACTACCTCTGCTGGCCAGGATTTCTGGGAGTTGAAGTCTAAGAACATCTGGAGGCCCAAGGTTAGGGACCACTGCTCTAGCATATAGCTGTTAGCCACTATCTAAAATCTTGGTCAGAAACCTTAATAGCCTAAACACCATTTTTTGCATTGACTGTGGCACCCAGTCATTGTAAGACCCTCCTTATCTGTCCTGGGTGGGCATGCACCACTTCACATGTATGGATTCCCTTCTTGTAACACTGAGCTTTTATGACTGATGTCAGTTTTGGCTGGGCTTCAGCAAAACATGCCCTTCCAGATGTTGTTGGACTGTAAGTCCCAGCAGCCATAGCCGGCATAGCCAGTAGAGGGGATGCTGGGCATTGTAGTCTAATAATTTCTGGAGGGCCACACATCCACTCCAATTTAAGCAGTTGTCTCCTTTCTTTCCTGAAAAGAAAAAGTGGTAACTTGAGCATTACAGCTTCTTAGCTATTGTTCCCAGTATAATAGTTGACCTCAAGGTCCAGGTGACCCTGCTTGAATCCCATTAATATTTAACATCTATACCTTGCTGTTGCCTATTAGACCTGCCAGAACCTGAGGTTTGATTTGTGTACCCACCCACAAGGATAATAAACAATCACAGTAATCAGGAATCATGGCCCACAAACACATGAAGAAATGTCCATGCCTCTGCAGAGACCTCAGAAGATTTTATGGCTCAGATACTTGAATGCTTGGCATGAGCAGAATCTCCATTTCTGATCAAACTGTTTGGCCATGCTGCCTGCTGAATTCTGGATGCTGCAGTCTGAGAAAGTAACCTTTCCAAGTTCTGAATTAAATGAGTATCTGTTAGGTCTTTTAAATGTCTTAATAGTGAAGTATTGTATATAGAATGATGCTCCGTTGCACATACATTATCTGTTGTTCCACAGAAAGGAGTGAAATAATAAGTCTTCTGGACTCTGTGTTTATCCTTTCAGGCCAGTTAAGCATCATCAATATTAAATTCATTATTCTTCCATCTTGCCCACTTGTTTATTATGAAGTGTGGAACTGCTGTAATGGAACAGTCAACAATTCTTCCTAACCATTAATTGGGAGAATTAAGAATTTAAAGTTTGCAGTCCTATACCCACTTGCCTGGGAATAACTTCATTGAAAACAGTTGGGCCTACTTCTGCTCAGGTACATAGAGGTTTGAACTACTAAAAGCACAATAGCCACCCAAACTAAGACCAAACTAAGCTTTACAAAACTTGGCTGTCTTCTTGCTAGTCTGCTCACTGATTATTCCCTATTTCATCCAATCCCTTGTCCCACTCCCTTTTTTTTATTCCTTCCAGGAATTCGTATGGGAAGTTTGGGCCTTTTTCTTCAGTGCATCATCTCCATCTTCTTCTCGACAATCATGGACCGGATGGTGAAACAGTTTGGGACGCGCATGGTCTACCTAGCCAGCGTGATTTTATTTCCACTGACTGCCTTCATCATGTGCTTCTCTCAGAGCATTGTCATTGTCACTGTTTCTGCTGCCCTGACAGGGTTCCCTTTCTCAGTGCTGCAGATCCTGCCATACACACTGGCATCTCTTTATCATCATGAAAAACAGGTGTGTGTCTTTGCAGAGGGTGAGGGAAGATGTTTGGCAAGCTCTTCAAAGTTACATGGGGAAAGCACGAAGTGTCTAGCCCAAAGTTGGTTCAAGGAGCCTCAGAACTGGATAGAAGATAATTGAGGGTGTATTGGTGCAGGATAGCTAAGGTTATTATGAGTTGCTATGGTGAAGCATTGCCCATTGATGTAAGGAAAGTGTCTGTCTTTGCAGAGGGTGAGGGAAGATGTTTGGCAAGCTCTTCAAAGTTACATGGGGAAAGCACGAAGTGTCTAGCCCAAAGTTGGTTCAAGGAGCCTCAGAACTGGATAGAAGATAATTGAGGGTGTATTGGTGCAGGATAGCTAAGGTTATTATGAGTTGCTATGGTGAAGCATTGCCCATTGATTTAAGGAAAGTGTCCTTTTTAATACCTTTCAAAATACGGCCTTATACAATATTTAGTTGCAGAGGAACTCTTGCATTAATGCATCTCTGTCCCCTCCTCCATCCATTATCCAATTTAAACATTCTTTTGGAAATTTTAAGTCATAAAAGATTATTGCAGCAGATAAACTGCCAAAGGAATGCACTTGCTGTTCCTGCCCATTAGCACAGGATGCAACATTTCTCAAAGCTGATTATTTAAACTTTAATATTTCAGGAAGCCATCTCTGCACTTCTGTCTCTGTGATTTCTGAGCAGCACTTTGCTGCTTTTCTCTTCCTTTCCAGTCCCTTAGACTACTGCCTTTCCCCCCAATTGCTATTTCTGGGTTCTTCCCATCATTGTTCCACCAAGGCCATGTTTTCTTATTGGCACAAGTGACTCCAAGCTTCCTCAGTCCCAGCATAATCTAAAGGATATATCTGGGAACCTTCAGATTGCTAATGGTTTATATCTCCCACCATCCTGTTTCATTGGCTATGCTGGCTGGGAGTGATGGGAGTTGCAGGTTGGTCACAATTGGAGGGCCTGATCTTCCTCACTCTTGTCTTAAAGAGAGGGACAGAGATAAGAGCAAATATCTGAATAAGGGGTTTTTCTAGAAGAACAGTGTGTAGACTACAAAGGCATTATAAGCGTTTACAGCCAATGAGCCCCACCAGACAGAGGAGGTATATAATGAAGAAGAAAGTTCTATGTCACTTTGGTATTTTCAGCCGGAGAAAGCAAAGTGTGCTGCTTATGTACTGCCCCGTAGCACTCAAAGCATCCTCTGGGTGGTTTACAATTTTTAAATTATGCAGGCTACACATTGTCCCCCTGCCCCTCAGTGAGCTGAGTACTCCATTTACTAACCCAGGAATCTGAGCTTGCCAAGATCAAACAGGTAGCGAGCGAAGTCCTTGATTGCAGTACTGCAGTTTAGCCACTGTGCATTGAGGCTCCCTAGAACAGTGGTCCCCAACTGTGGGCCTCCAGATGTGTTTGGACCACAACTCCCAGAAGCCTTCACCACCATCTCTGCAGGCCAGGATTTCTGGGAGTTGAAGTCCAAGAATAGCTGGAGGCCCAAGGTTGAGGACCATTGCCCTGGAAGACTTCAGAGAAGCTACTTACAACTAATTAAAACTGCTGATGTAAGCCATATGAATCTTGTTTTGTGATACAGAGGTAGGGGCTGCTTTCTGTTTCTTTTGCTTGTTAAGACAAGTCTGGAGATAAAACGAAATAGCGAGGGTTAAAACTCTTGGAATAATTAAATGTAGGTTTTAAATATATTTAACAGATATACATTTTCAGTAATTTCCTATCGGTTTTTGCACACAAGCAAAGAACAATGGTATAGGAAATGATATGGTTCCTTTGTACACAAGATACAACATTCAGGATTATCTAAGACTAAACTGGCTTATTACAGTATAAGCTTATATAAGGGATCTGTTACTTGCCTGGTCCTCTATTTTATCTATTGCTTTTTAAAAGCTTACATAATACATAAAACCATAGTCTTTAAAAGGTGCTATGGTATTTTGACTTTAATGTTCGTTGTAGGTGCTTCTAAGAACAGTTGTGTCATTGTATTCTCCAGTGTGTGCGTGTTCTCTCAGTGTATTTTCAATATAACCATTATTTTTCAAAGGAACAATTAAATTTTTTTTAATATCGCCTATGCTTTTAATAAACTGTTCACACCTACATTCCTACTTGCTAAGTCAGGGAGATTTACAGAATGTTAAGGTACAATATTATGAATTCCCTGATTTTTTTAGAAGCATGTGGTACAAGAGTCTAATGAAATATTGAGTACAGCAAATCAGGCCAGTTAAGTAGGTCTGAGAGGCTTTGTCATATACTGTAACAAATAAGCACGATGGCAGGCAGGTTTCCAAGGCCTGTATCTTTCATGCTAGTTCCACCTCTGACCTAGTGGCATAAAGTGGCCAAAATCTTGTTGCATAGTTTCATTAGTGGAAGGGAAATGGCTTAACTCAGCGGGTGACCACATTGGCTGTTTACCCCACAGTTTGCATTGGATTTGCCACAGACGAAATTGAATTAAAAACTAATGACTGCACAATATAAAGCTCAGTGTGGGGAAGGTCGCTGAGGAATCATTTCTTTTCGGTGAAGAACCGTCTCTATTTCTTCAGCCAGCAGAGCATTGTTTTGTTTTGCTCTGACTGGGCTAATGCCCCTTTTCTCTGTCTGTGAGAGAAGCAGAGTGATCACCTCAGCTGAGTGCCTGTTGCCTCCAAATAGTATTTTTTAAAAAAAAGAAAATCTGTCAATTTACTGCTAATTCAGATAAAGCAAAGTGTGCTGCTTATATACCACCCCATAGTACTTAAACTCAAGCACTATGTCAGCTTGAGTGGGGAGAAGCAAAGGGAAGGGGTGCTCCCAGTGGAAATTGCCAGTAGACATCCCATCAAGCAGCTTCCAGTGCTGGAGCGCCATGCAAACCTATTTGACAGCTTTCTCTGCCTCCGCCCGTGCTGACTCCTGCAACACAGTAATTGTCATTTGGATGGATGGCTACAACAATTTCACCAGCAGGGACTCTATTTTAAAAACTGCAGATCAAAGTGTATTTTCTCTGCTGTGTAGTTGCACTAGTGGCAAATATTGCTGCTAATTAATGAGTCCCTATCACTCGCCAAGCCCCCTGACAGATATGCAATGAGAAATCCAAACATTGAATACTCATAGCAAGGAAAATGTCATTTCCCTTCTGCCATCATAACTGTGCAATCACAATTTTGGCCAATAAGTCAAAATTATTTCTGAAGGCCATTATATGTAATTGGTTAATTTTTAAAAAAAGTTGGGGAGGGAATATTTTAACTCAGCCCTTTTTCAAAAGTAGTGAAAATCTGAGGAAGTCCATTGATATAGATCTTTCAGAGTACAGTTGCCCTCTCTTAAACTATTAAATACATCATGTCTGGCTTATCATCTATCATGTCTCACATGTCTCATTATTTAAAATGAGGGGGGAAACCACTTACATAATCCAGTATTTTAATAATGTTTACTATAGGATAGTTTTTCATCTTGCTTATGTTGTGTCACAGTTAGATGCTGGCCTCATCCCCCCTTCATTGCACTAATACTTAGTCTACGTACTTCCTTCCTAGCTGTCACAGTCCTTCTTGGGGTGTTACTATTAAAAGCCATTTCTGTTTTCTTTGCCTTTTGTCAGCCCTTTCTATCTGCTTCCTAAGCTTCTTTGCTTCTCTCTTCTGAAGTGAGTTTCTCCATAACAGCTGCCATTCCAGTGCTGTGAAAGCCTGCAAGACTAACCCTGTCTGAAGCTTCACGCTCGCAAGCCGCGTAAGTCGGTTGCATTTCTCGCATGCCCGTGAACTGTTCTGTTCTGCCAAGGCCTTCCCATTGAGGGATTTTGCTGTTATGAAATGGCTTCCCTGCCTATCTTGTGCTGAGTAAAGAGCCTGAGAAAATGGCTAGGGGTTTTTTGATGTAAAGATATTAATAGGGCTTCAAAAAGTCCCCCCCTTTTTTTTGCACCGTATCTCCCAGAATCCCCAGGCCAATATGTTACATCTATACCTTTTCTAGGTTCTGTATGTAGGTATCCAAATAATAGTACCAGGACTTTTTGAGCACACACTTTTACAGCAATCCTTGAATTTTCTTGATCACAGCTGGCTGCTAACATAGTTTCTTCTACTGGACTATATTTTAAATGCTACATTTTAATTCCAGTAGCAGCTAGGAATTTCTGTGGTTATTCATGGTACAGTGCATTCAGTTCTTGTTCCTGCCCCAAACCTGCACAGCTCTCTTTCAATTTTTCAGTGTTGTGCATCAATAGAAAATTCCACAGGCATTGAATGGTTGCTGGTGGTGTTTCTGTCAGTGCTACATGTTGAAACAGGGTGTTCCAGGGCCTTGAGAGTTAGATCTGGATTCAAAACTCATTCGTTCCCTGGAAACATGCAGGGTGAGGTCAGTCGAGTACAATAGCCTGCAATTGGCACCGGTAATTTCCTCTCTATTGAAACTGATGGTGGTAAAATGGGGATAGATGAATTACTGAAGAATTGTGTGCTTGGCCATTCATGCTGCATTTTTTCTGGTCTTGTTTTTGCTGCATTTCCCCCCTTAGAGTTAATATTTAGCTGTTTGTCCATGCCACAATGGGTGCCAAACAAAATGATAGTTCAATTCAAACTGTTAGCAATTTTTTTTAAAAAAAGAAAAGAGCTGGTCCATTTGGGGATCTTGATACTGATTGGGGGCCCCTTGTCTGCTGCTGTTTGCATGGGTGAGAGTGAGGTTCAGTTTGTGCAAATCGGAGCACCCTACTCTCAATGCAATCAGTAAGCAAGGGAAGTCTGATCTACCTGAGACCATAGTAGAGAGAAAAGGATTAAGCTGTTTGGATCAGGCTACCAATGCTTATCTGCAAAATGCATTCTTTGGAGGAATTTAAGTAGTTTCTGAACTACTAGCCAGATTCTGGGTCTTTCTAAATAAGACCTAAAATGTAAGGCACTGAGCAGAGCAAGTAATCTTTGGCTACAGTTAGCCATTTGGCCCTTCCTGCACCAGTGTTTCCTTCCCAGTGCTTTCCTTTGCACAGCATCATCCATAGTCAACAAAACTATATCCATCCACTGAAATCATGAAGTCGTACAACAGCTACATTGATACCCGTGTAAGCAGGAATGTTAGGCAGATTTTCAGCTTCCACATTATAGTTCTCTGTTACTGAACTTGGCTTGGCATTGTGGACAATGGAATGTATTTGGAGAAAAGAAACTACAGAAGCTTACTTAAGACAGCTTGCTCAATCCACAGAGTCTGAGTGATCAGTTCCTGAGATAGGCAATGTGGCATGTGAATGCCACAAAAAGGCTGTGGGGCTCTCTCTGTGAGTTTGTGTGTGTGCACTTGTCTGCATATGCATGCGTGTGTGTGTGTGTGCGTGCGTGCATGCGTGTGTGTGTGTGTGAAATACTTAAAAGGAAATGGAAGTCTTTTTTTATTGTGCAGATGTGCACTCAACGCACTGAAGTACTGACTAGGCTGAAACCAGAACTGTTCATTAAAGTGAATGAATTAAATTAAGCTGACTTAGGTACTGTCTTCTTTGTCTCATTTGATGACACCCTGAAAAATAAACCATACCTCCCATTTTACATCTGATCCTAGATCTTTTGAGGTTTTGCATTTTACTTGTGGAAATATTATCCCGTAGTCAATCTCCCAACAACAGACTCTAGTTTGCTACAGGCTGGTGCTACTCTCCAGCTCAACCAATAAATCTTCTTTTGTCTGAAAGGCATCAGACCAGTGGTTCCCAACCTTGAGTCCTCAGATGTTCTTAGACTAAAACTCTTAGAAGCCTTCACTGCTAGCTGTGTTGGCCGGGGAGTTGCAGTCTAAGAACATCTGGAGATTCAAGGTTGGGAACCACTGTATGAATGTTATCTTTGCCAGAGCTACAGTAAGTCTTGTCTGCCCAGCTCTAATCAAAGCTTGAAAACAGTTACATGTTTGGACTGTAACTCCCAGTACTCCACAGCGATCATGGACCGAGTGTAAGATGCTAAGAGCTATAGTCTAAAATCCATGCTCTGGCCCTAATCAGGTTGTACTTTACTTTGTTTGGAAATGAAACCAATTCTGTTTCTGTTAATTAGCTGCATTTTATTCCAACTTCTGCCTGGTTCTAGCTAGTCACATATTTCACTTCTGGTTCTGTGTTTGTTGTGTTCTGGTACAGTGTGTTTTGATCCAGTTCTGTCTTTTCAGATATATTTACCAAAGTATAAAAGCAAAGAAGAAAGTGCAGCTCAACTAGACAAGAAGCATGGCTTCCTCAAAAGCCATATTTCCGGACAGAAACTGACCTACCAAAATGGACACAGTGGAATCCTCTTCTCTCCTCCTGGGGCTGGCTCTTCCCTCTGTGTTGGTTCAGCCTGTGAGGTTCCTCTCATGATGATGGTGGGAGACTCAGATACCACATCTGCAAGCCGCGGCATCTGTTCAGACCTGGCCATTCTGGATAGTGCATTTCTTCTTTCACAGGTTATCCCATCCCTCCTCATGGGTTCGCTTGTTCAGTTCACACAGTCTGTTACTGCATATATGGCATCTGCTACTGGGTTTGGGTTGGTGGCCATTTACTTTGCAACCAAAGTTACCTTTGACAAAAGTGATATGGCCAAGTATTCACTGTAGGAGAGGAAAGGCTTGGGAGCAAAATCTGCATGTATTGAAGCAGGTAATGGAGAGGAACAGATTGTGCATGCACTGCCTGTTTCTCCCTCCCAAGTTGTAATCAGAGATACAAAAAAACTCTGGTTGAAGGAAAAGTGAATGCTGGTCTGATCTCAGGGTATCTAATGAAAGGGAGTGTGGTATAATGCTGTCTCTTTCTCCATAATGCCTTCCCCAAAGTGCCTCTGCAGAGAGAAGCCTATAAAAGCAGCTTACAGATCTGGAAAGTAAAGGGCCATCCTTTAGTGTAACAGGATTGGGACCATTTCAACAACTTTATCAGACTGGGTGGGAGCCACAATGAGTGGAAGCCACAGTGCAGAGGGACCAAAGATGGCTCAAAGTTGCCATTAGCCTCAGTTCTTGTACAGTTTAAAACACCGCTGCTGATGCAGGTCATCATCCTCATGTCATATAAATTTACCTGCCTTGGCGTGAGCCAAGAAATATGTGGGAAGAAGATTGTAAAGCACATTTATGTTTCTTAAAGGAAAGCAGGAATAAACCATTGCCTTCATCTATTCCAGATGGGCTCAAGATCAAGATGGTGTTATCTGAGCTAAACTTTGTAGGAGTAGGGTGGGGGCTTGTTTAACAGAGGATGCTGTGGTTGGACTGGCAGAGGCTCTGCAGTAGCTTGACAGAAATGAAAATCTTGGTCATCATCTGATACTTCACCACCACCACCTATGTGCTAAAACAGAGCTTGCACTGAATGGAAGCAGAAAAGTTCATGTAAACATTGGCCAAAGAACATACCCCTCTGGAGATTTCAGTTTCAGTGATGGACTAGCAGAAATAAATCACAGTGGCTTCTACTGTGTGCAGTCCTAAAAAGAAGGCTTAGTATGTCAACGGAGTTTTTAAAAAAATATGCTTGTGTCTTTGCCACCTTTCCTGCTAAGGAGGTGATGTGGCCAACCTGCCTGTGCTAAAGGGCGCTATAGAAAAATCAGCCACAAAGCAGGCATGGAGTTGAATTTTTCCAGTGTGTGATCCAGCCATTCTGCCACCCAGGCTGAGCAGAAGCATTCACTTTGCCAAGAAAGCTTTGCAGAGCAAACGGCTCTCTTCTAAACCTATGTATAATTTTTCCTTCCTTTTCTCCTACAAAGCAGTTTTCTGTGTGCTATATAGCTTGCAGCTATTCACGCAGTGCTGTGCAATGCAGCTATTTCTAGGAGCATAGCACCGTGAACATGCAAAACAGAAAGAGTACAAGATGCATAGAATAGACTGCCTGAAAGGGCACTGGAAGGCCAAGCCCAAATCTGTTTACCAAACGTAAGCTCCTATGTATTTTTTTCTGTTCCACAAGTTAGAACTGGAAATATTATTCTTTGGAAGTAACTAGCTTAGGGCCAATTTAGAAATGTTCTTAATGATACATAAATAGCAGCCATGAAGAAACTTAAACAGTTTCAGGACTGGTGGAACTGCGAGAAATGTTGTCTTTCCTCCATCCCATTCCATCATACGACCAACGAAGGTTGTGCAAGAAGCTATTTGTACGTATTTTAAAGTTTTTTCTCCAATACTTTTTGCATTGTTGCCAATAGAGCAAAGGTGGATAATGCTTTATGGTGTCTTGGACTATAGCTCCGAGAGGCTACTGGGAAATGAAGTCCAAAGCAATTGAGAGGCAGAAGGTTCCCTACCTGCTTTGAAATGCAGATAGCTGTTTTGAGGCCCTTTATGTGGGGAATGTGCAAGGGATGAAAAACTGAACACTTTCTCTCTCCGCCCCCCACTGTTCTGAGGTTGCTCTGGTTTATTCAGGGCCAGATGAACTGTAACTGAGGTGCCTGCAGGAAAAATAATTTAATTTCTAGAGACACATCCTGCTTTAGCAAAGCCCCCAAATCTTTAATTTCATTGTCAATTTGTTCCAAAGCAGGACCAAGGCTGCTGCAAAACAATGACTCCAGACCTCATCCAAGAGAGATGGCCCAGAAGGCCACTGCAGTTGACAGATAGTTTTAAAAGCCACTGGGAGATCCAAGAAGATATATTTTGTTGCTTAAGGCAAAGCAACAATGACACTCTCCTTCTACACACACAAGCTGATGGGACTGGAAGCTGAATTCTAGTTCAAAGTGGGAAGCTGGGTAGCAGCATCCCCCAACACGTGAGGGCAGCAGCCTATTTTTTTGTAAGTGTCAGTAGGTTGTGTGACACATGGAGCTATCCTCCAAGAGAGGAGAAAGACTAGGATGCTCAGGAGTAACAGCTAGAGTGCTGCCATCAGCATTTGCTTCCTAAGGTAGATGCCTTATTCTGCCAAATGGTACAGTTGAGCCTAGATTTGAACACTTTTTGGAGGCTGAGTAGGAAGATCAATAAAAGCCTTTTAAAGGCCATTTTGTTCACTAAGTGTTCCCATGTGATTAAAGATTAAGTTTTTGCCATGTGTTCACAATAGCTGGATAGATATACAGTGGCTATAGCCACTGTATATCTATCCAGAAGGAATGGAGACCCAGCAGCAGGTGTAGTAGAGGGGCACGCTGATTTAATTCCAGTAAACGGAAGCTAACAAGTCTTAGTGCAGTGGTCTCTCCAGTTGCATGACTGACTGGGATCACTCTGGTAGCTGGAAAAAGTAACATTGTAGGCTAGAAATAGGAGCAAATTGATCTGGGAGGAGCAGGGAGGGAGCTTTGAAAACTTCTAGAAACTGATTAATTCTCCCAAAATGAAAGTATAGGTGTCTGACACCTTTATTGCACCACTTAAATATCACAAACATAAGCTAACTTCCAACCTGGCATCGTTCTTCATTAGGCACGGCACCCCAGAATTGGGCATGATGAAGAAGAAACATAAAAAATTCCAAAAATATTGGTCAGATGTATGTGGCAGGCTCTTTTGTTTAAATCAAGTTCTGGAACAGAAGCTGCAGATTTCAGTCAGAGGAGAAAGAACCAACATGGAAAGTTGGCTGCTGTAAAACAGCCCCTCTGAATCTAACACCATCCAATTATTGCTAGACTATAATTCTCATAATCCCTGACCATGCATGCTGGCTGGGGCTGATTGGTGCTATAGCCCCAATTCTTTTTTCCACTGTGAAATCGGATACATGGGATTTTACAATCCCTTTAGCCCTGTTGCCAGATTCTGTCTGCTTTCCTTAACAGGTGCAGACATCAACTGAGACATGGAACCAGCCGCACCACACTGGCTTTTCTCATTTCCCACATTATGTATCCGTTGATTGTAAATCTTCCAGGAAGCCTAAGGCACTTCCACTCTCAGAACCCAACGTTATTACTGTGTCATTGCTGTAGTCATCTGGAATGCAATGAAATATGTGGCAAGCCAGTTTGCAGCTAATCAGGATGAAGGTTGGGAAGGTGGCAGTCCTCACACACACCACACACGATAAGCCAACTTCCGTCTCCTCATTTTTATTGCTTCTCTCAGGCATCTAACTCTAGATATTATCTCAACATTGGCTTGGGTGTGGAGCTGTTAAACTTTGGAAATCACAGACTCCTCTCCATTCATTTTCTTACATAGCTCTGAGAACCCTCTACCCTCACTTAGAATCACAGAATGCTTGCCAGTGGGTGGGGTGCTGCTACAGGTGTGGCTTGCAATAAAGTGGAAGTTTTCCAGATGAACTTTTCTTTCCCTCAAAATACATGTAGATGTGAGGGTTTGACATGGCTCATCTGGAACTTTCTGCAAAAGAATGAGCTGACCTTGCTTCATGAAAATGCTTATATTTAAAAGGGAAGGGCTGTTTTAGGTCAGTGTTTCTCAGGCTTTTGGAGCTGAGGTGGGTGATTTACAAAGCCTGGTCTCCCCACAAGAAAAGCCCAGGATAGCTATTTGTTTCTGGTGTATGTGTAGTGCTGCTAGGACCCCCTGCCCCCAGCCTGTACATAGGAATGTGTAAAAGGCATGTTTTAAAATATTTGTAAGAAGCCAACACCCTCCACTATCAGTCTGGCATAGGGAGCAATCAAGTAGCTCTAGGTTATCCTTTTCTGATCTGTTGCCCTCCTCATGTTCCTGGTGTCAGTTCCTATAATCCTTCAACTTTGGCCATGTTAGCCATGACCATCGGAACCTGTAGGCCAAAACATCTGGAGACCATCAGATTGGGAACACTGCTGTTGGAGCCAACTGACAGATTAGAAGTAACTAACCTTTTCCTCCAGCTGCTACTTTGTAGTTATGCTTAGGGTGTTGGGCAAAGAGGAGGGACTCTCAGCCATTGCAAACTGTACCAACCCAACACAACTGATGTAGATGTTCAGCAAGCCCTTCAGGGGATCCTGATAACACTGTTTGGAACCATAAGAGGGGGAAATTATCATTCAGAATCCCAGTACTGTGTGACCATCATACTTACGCTAGTTATGAGCCTTTTCAAATTTTTGTGAGCTATGAAAACATTGAGAAAATAACATTTCCATAACCAAGGTGCTTCTTGTAGTTATTTCTGTTAAGTTTGAGATATATCGAGACAAATATGTGAACCATTCTGCCTGCTGTTTATAACTATACACCACAATATACTGTAATCTTCAATATCAATCCACAAGCACCATCTATTTGCAACATGTAATGTGGGTAATAGAAACATCAGCTGAAATCCAGTGGTAATGCAGAAGCATTGGCTCTTTGAATCAGTGACATTTATAGAGAAGTTGACTCAGAAAACCCCTACTGATTCAATGGTCCTGCACTAGTTGACTTACCGTTGGATTTCAGCCATTATGTTTTATATTTTTGAGATGAGCCAGTGAAGAATGGCAGCCATGTGTTCAGCCATTGGGTAATGGATCAAAACTCTTCTAATGCTGTTGCAATGTCCAATATAAAATTTTGATGGCATCTGAATTTTCTTCACTTTTGTTCTGTTAAACAGTTATTTGTACTCCTGCACTATTGATATAAATCCCCCATTTTCCTATTTAAAGGGAATTTACTGAATGCTATTTGGGCCAGTGATTGGTTTGTGCCTATATTTCTCAACAAGTGATTCCTTTGAATCATATTTGCTCTAGGGGGAAATATACCTCCCATATTGTATCTTGCAAAACACTGTCTGTAAATTGTATGTTTATTTATTTACATGAGTAAATATTTTGTACAGTTTATGTGCAAGGGATATTAAAATCTATTAAGGAATGGAAACTTTTAAAATATGTTTTTAAATTAAGAACATAATGTGTACTTCTTTGGCATTTGGACATGGGTGCCAAATTAATCCATTTTCTGTCAAAATTAATAAACCTGAACTTACAAAGCTAGTGGAAGGCATCCACATTAATGGAGATATGTTTTCAGTACTCAGTTATATTATAGTCACTCTTCTAATCCCGTTTTGTGAAACAGACTCTTTGCTGAATGTGTTAAAAACAAGACATCGTGGAAGAAACAAGGATTATCAAGTTCATCTGTGAAGCCAAAGACTAAATGTTCCAGAAATCCAAGAAAGCTACCAGTTCAGGACAGGGATTCTGTGGTATTCCAGTAGGCTGATGGCAGGTTATTGCAAGGTAATAAATAATACAAGTCTTGAGTGCAAATTTAAGTTTTCAGGGGTGTTAATGATATCAAAGACAAGAAGAAACAGCATGCTATATACAATGATCAAATTACAATCAGTGCATTTGTGTGTCTCTTCTCTTGAATTTTGTACTTTCTGGGAAGTGCAGATAGATTCCTCAGACAGCGACTGAAAGACCTACATAAAAAAGTGAAGAGTTCTCTTTTTGCTTAGTATTTCTCTGCAGCAAAACTGCTAGAATCTCATCAGCAAGCATTGTTACCTCCTCAGGCAGGAGACTTGTGCCTTAAAATCTATAATTGGCAGAGGTTGGGAGATGAATTTTACTCTGTCACTGAATGTCCATGCATGAAAAGCTTCACCTGCTGCTTGCTGCATATTAAGCAGTTGATAACATTTCCCAAGGCTGATCTGGGTATATGGTATTTGAGACTGAAACGCTCACAAATATTTCTCCCTCTCTGGCCCTACCTACCTACACAACCTACCTAATGTTATTTCACCTGTGCAAGACCAATTATCTGAAGCGGGCCTCTCAGTCTACCAGTCTGCCTCGAGGTAGGACCCACCTTGGATGAATGGAAGGTGTGTGTCAGAAATATCTGATCACCTCATGCTTCTCTTTAAGATTCTATGGTGGAAGAAACAGTGTGGAGTGGTGATGGCCCAGTTTTTGTTGGGTGGTGGTGAAGATGGTCTCTAGCAAATTCTCTCTGGGGGAACATGGTCCACTCCTGTTCCAGAGTGTCTGATACAAGATCAAGATGAAGCAGAATAATTTTTAAAGCCAACTTCACTTATAGTCGCACATTGCGAGGAACTGATACCTTTATCTGAAATAAATAAGAAACAGTAGTGAAGCACCCCAATTGATCAAGCAGTACTACAGGGTCTTTAAATGAAGGGTTTACCTCAGATTATTGTGTGCCAAGAAAAATAAAGGGAACATATTCTCTTCAGGGAAATATAAATACGGTTCTTCATGCTGGAGACACACAACATTATTGTGGCAAAAGCCATTCAGATAAATCAGTGAAAAGATACTGAGAAATTGCTCATTGATGAATACCTTAAAATGTGGAATATTATACTGTTGACTGAACAAAACAGCTGTAGTTTAAGGTTACAGTTGTAAAAATAAATCTGGTGGGAAAGAAGGGGTCAACAAATTAGCCAAGTATCAAACTGTTTGAATCAAATTCTTTTGTCAACCAGTAACTTTTAGGTCACAAAAGCCGACTGTTACAGTTCTCCATCCTTACACCACTAGAATGACTGTGGAAACTGTAGCTATTCAGGAAGGAACAGTGATTAGTCCATTGTTCAATATTGCTGCCATGCTGTTTTAAAAGAACTAAAGCTAGGGAAGGCAAGGGGCCATCTTTACAATATTCTACTCACATCTTCCAGTAGATGGTGCTATAAGATGTCACAGGTACAGGAATCATCCTGATTTCATCAGCACTGAAGTGAGGTGGGATATAACACCACTCTAGCAGCAGACACTGCATTTGAAAATTTTAGCCAGGTCATAGTTTACTATTGATCTCTGAATATGAGCTCTTCTGTAGCCCTAAACTTTGGGAGCATGAATCCCTATGTGGTAGTCAAGTTCCCTGTTGTTGTTTAGTCGTTTAGTCGTGTTCGACTCTTCGTGACCCCATGGACCAGAGCACGCCAGGCCCTCCTGTCTTCCACTGCCTCCTGGAGCTGGGTCAAATTCATGTTGGTTGCTTCGATGACACTGTCCAACCATCTCATCCTCCGTCATCCCCCTCTCCTCTTTCCTTCACACTTTCCCAACATCAGGGTCTTTTCCAGGGAGTCTTCTTTTCTCATGAGATGGCCAAAGTATTCAAGGCTCAGTTTCAGGATCTGTCCTTCCAGGGAGTACTCAGGGTTGATTTCCTTTAGAATGGATAGGTTTCTTCTCTTTGCAGTCCAGGGGACTCTCAAGAGCCTCCTCAGCACCACAATTCAAAAGCATCAATTCTTCAGCAGTCAGCCTTCTTTATGGTCCAGCTGTCACCTCCATACATCACTATGGGAAAAGCCATAGCTTTGACTTTGCGTACTTTTGTTGGCAAGATGATGTCTCTGCTTTTTAAGATGCGGTCTAGGTTTGTCATTGCTTTCCTCCCGAGAAGCAAGTGTCTTTTAATTTTGTGGCTGCTGTCACCATCTGCAGTGATCATGGAGCCCAAGAAAGTAAAATCTGTCACTGCCTCCATGTCTTCCCCTTCTATTTCCCAGGAGGTGATGGGACAAGTGGCCATGATCTTAATTTCTTTGATGTTGAGCTTCAGACCGTTGTGGGTTTTTTTTTGGCACTCTCCTCTTTCACCCTCAATGCAAGGTTCCTTAATTCCTCCTCACTTTCTGCCATCAGATGGTATCATCTGCATATTGGAGGTTGTTGATATTTCTTCCGGCAATCTTAATTCTGGCTTGGGATTCCTCCAGTCCAGCCTTTCACATGATGTATTCTGCATATAAGTTAAATAAGCAGGGGGACAATATACAGCCTTGCCGTAC